CTTGTTACCAGAAGAAAATCAGGTTTTAGATATTAAATTGAGATGTTTCATCAAATGTGATGTAACATCATTGTTTTGCAGCTGTTGATAATTTCAGGTGGAAACAACAATGAAAAAGAAGAATTCAACTACCATGAAGAAAGTTCGGGTTGCGCTGTGGACAACAAGATTTGTCATGTTTCCAATAATGTAAGCAGTGAGTCCAATGTTGAAGAGCATGTAGAACATGTTAAATATTTTCTCTCCCATGTTGACTGCATGTAGATCTCCATAGCCAGTTGTGGTGAGTGTGACAATTGACCAGTACATGGAGTATGTGTAGCCTAGCCAGATGGTTCTATCTTTAAAATCATTGACCTGAACTCCAATCCATGTATCCTCTGGTGTTTTATAGTGTGCAGCTAGATAAAAGTAGATGCAGGCAGCTGAGTGTATGGTGAAAATTGTAACCTGCCATTTATTTGTGAAGAAATATGAACATGAAAATCCATCGGATATTCATTGGTGTGAAACTCTAGAAATTATGAGAATTGCACTTACACAAAGGAGCTTAAATAGCCTTGTTATAAAGTAGCTAAACTGTGTATCTTTCTCTAGCCTGCAACAAAGTATTCAAGGTCCAATTAGCTTAAACAACAGAGTGTTGATCATATATGGTATATACACAAATATATATATGATACAGTACATATACCTTTTGAAGAGGGCACTAACCCGGCGAAGACGCCATAGGCGAAGGAGGTTGAGGAAGCCCAAGAACTGAGCTTGGTGGTTTTTACCAGTGATAATTCTGTATATGAACTGGAATGGTAGAGTTGAGGCTACATCCATTGGCAAATGTAGTCTTTTCACATACCTAACATTTTTCGAAGTACAGATGAATGGATTTTCAGACATAAACCATACACATGTTACCATATGGATTTTATATGTACTTAATTAATTTTCATATTTATCTTTATAACTGAAAAATCTGCACAAACTTGCTTCTTGGTTATAAAATTCATCTTGGTCTGTCCATTATCTCAATATATAAATCCATTAACCAGTAGTTGTCATATATATTTAACTTGCTCAAGCATGAGCCAAATCTTGTTGTGCAGGCCTGACTCTCAAGGCCATGGGGAACCCTGCTTACTAAGGTCAGTTTTGGTGGCTAATTCAGCTAAACCGGATCAAGCATAAGCCAGTGGTAAATGCTCTAATCAATAATGGTTCTGTACAAGTAATTGCTGGTGTATATTCTCAAAGTTTAATTATAATCGAAAGTTATCTCAGCTTTCTATATTTAATCTAAAAATCAATTACATACAAGTAATGATAATTTCTGGGTAGTGTAGTTACTAAAATTAAGAGCTTTTCATCCAACAATATACTTGCACCATCTTGTCGTAATCATCAGTTGGGTTCGGATTGGATTGGATTGGATTGGATTGGATTGAGCCCAATCTTCCGTCAAAAAAATTTTGAACCCAAATATCTAATCCAATCCGAACTGATTACATTGATCCGAAAAATATTAATATGTAAATAATATATATATATATATATATATATAAAATATGTTACTGAATTTAATCAGGTCCAATTTGAATTAATTAATATTTTTTAATATTAAAAATTAAAATAATAACACAAATAGTTGTATGTTTTATTTAATATTTAAAATTAAAATATTGATACGTAAATAATAGATTTAAAAAGATAAATTTGTTGAATAAATTTTTGGAATTACATCAATCCAAAATCTTTTTTATTCTGCTCCAGTTTTGTATAGTCCAATTTCATCAGGTTCCAAATTAATGCTTAGTATTATTTGTAATTAAAGCTACGTATGTGATTAAGGAATGGTTTAAATAGTAAATAGTTCCTTTACTACTCAAACTTTTCTTTTAAGCCCTTATACTTTTTTTCTTCTCTCTGAATGGTCCTTGTATTTTCAAATTGTTTCTTAACACCGTCAGAAGCATTGTTAAGTCAAGGCTACGTGTTCGGCCCACGTGGCGTTGATTTTTCACAAATTGATGACCTAGAACTCATTTTCACATCATCAGAAGAGATTGAGGAAGGAAGCTTTGAGCAAAATAAATGAAGGGCTCCACCATGGTTGACCAGAAAGAGAGAGAAAAGAAACCTCGTACACTTGCTTGCATTCACTCAGTTATCTCAGACACGGTTTTCAGTAGGATCATGCCTTACAAAACCCCCAAGCTGGCTTGGGACAAAATCAAAGAAGAATTTGAAGGTGGTACCAGAAGCAAGAGAACGAAGCTGCTAAAACTAAAAGTAGAGTTTGTGATTAAAGCTACGTACGTGATTAAGGAATGGTTTAAATAGTAAATAATTCCTTTACTACTCAAACTTTTCTTTAAGCCCTTATACTTTTTTTCTTCTCTCTGAATGGTCCTTGTATTTTCAAATTGTTTCTTAACACCGTCAGAAGCATTGTTAAGTCAAGGCTACGTGTCCGGCCCACGTGGCGTTGATTTTTCACAAATTGATGACCTAGAACTCATTTCCACGTCATCAGAAGAGATTGAGAAAGGAAGCTTTGAGCAAAATAGATGAAGGGCTCCACCATGGTTGACCAGAAAGAGAGAGAAAAGAAACCTCGTACACTTGCTTGCATTCACTCAGCTATCTCAGACACGGTTTTCAGTAGGATCATGCCTTACAAAACCCCCAAGCTGGCTTGGGACAAAATCAAAGAAGAATTTGAAGGTGGTACCAGAAGCAAGAAAACGAAGCTGCTGAAACTAAAAGTAGAGTTTGTGATGTTACAGATGAGAGAAGATGAGATAGTCAGACAGTACGCGTGTAAGCTGATGGATGTTGTGAACAAAATAAGGCTGCTGGGCGAGAACTTTCTTGACTCACGGGTGGTAGAACAAATTCTAATCAATTTACTAGCTCGATTTGAGTCCAAAATCTCTGTGTTGGAGGAGCTGAATGATACTGATACCATCACTGCAGCTGAGCTTATCAATAAACTGGAGTCGCAGGAGCAGCGAGCCAACATAAGGGAAACTAGTCACACAGAAAGAGCCTTGTTCATAAAAGCCAAAGCAAGAATTGAGAATAAAGGGAAGCAGAAATGAGAGAAGAGCTCAATTGAGAAGCAATCTAGAAGCCAAAACCATGGCAAGCAATCAAAATTTTCTCCTTGTAAAATTTGCACATTGACCAACCATCTAGAAAATGATTGTTGGTACAAGAACAAGAAGGCAATTTAGTGCCATTTCTGTAAAAAGCTTGGCCACAAGGAAAGAAACTGTAGGTTGAAGCAAAAGCAAGGCCAACCTAAAGGAGAGACTCAACAAGCGAACATCACCGAAGTAACTGGTGAAGCTTCAACAAATTTTTATGTGGCCTCAAATGAAGTCATAGATGAGGATGACATAAAATGGATCGTTGACAGTGGGTGTACATCCCACATGTGCAAGAACGAGTCCATGTTTACCTACTTAAACAAAGCTCTGGAAGTTAAAGTGAGGTTGAGAAATGGCAAGTTTGAGAATGCAGAAGGTAAGGGCACTGTCTCTATAAATACCCACCTCGGTATACGGTATATTACAAATGTGCTTTTTGTACCTACATTAAAGCAAAATCTGTTAAATGTCAATCAGATGACAAATAATGGATATAAGGCACTTTTTGAGCGCAAGTTCTATCAGATTTATGATCCTGATAGAAAACAGATCGAGACAGCACCAAAGGTTAATCGAAATTACCTACTATACATGAAGAAGCCAGCACACATGGCCTGTTATGCTAATGCAAATGAGGGAGAAATTTGGCACAGAAAGTTTGGACATTATCACATGTCTGACTTGAAGAAGTTACAAATTGAGAACCTGAGTCTCAATCCCCCTACACTTGGTAAAACCAACACTGTTTGTAGTGTATGTCAAATGAGTAAGATGCACAGAAACACATTCCCTGCGCAAGCTAGCACACGGGCAACAGAAAAGCTTTAACTTGTTCACTCTGATATCCGTGGGCTAATGAGCCAATATTTCTTGAATGGGAGCAGGTATTTCTCCCTTTTTATTGATGATCAGACCCGGATGACTTGGGTCTACTTTCTAAAAAACAAAGCTGAAGTGTCTAGTAAGTTTAAAGAGTTCAAATTGATTGTAGAAAGGGAAAGTGGGTGTTCACTTAAAGTGCTAAGAACTGATAATGCCCTTGGGTATAATTCACAGGAATTCAGAGAGTTTTGTATCTCTCAAGGGATCAAAAGGCAACTTGCTGCCCCCTACTCACTGCAGCAAAACGGTGTTGCAGAAAGGAAGAACAGAACTGTGGTGAAAATGAGGAGATGTCTGATGAATGACAAACAATTGCCCAAGCAGTTATGGGTTAAAGCAGTAAACACATTTGTTTACTTGCTTAATCAGCTGCCCACTCAAGCCTTGGAGAAGATCACGCCATTTGAAGCCTGGTATGGTAAGAAGCCCGAGACTACTCTCATCAGGATCTTTGGCTTTGTTTGCTACAGCTTAGTTCCTAATGAAAGAAGAAGAAAGTTAGATGATAAGGGAGAGCCTGGAATTTTTCGAGGCTATAGTACAGATACAAAGGGGTACTGGGTGTATATGCTGAACTCCAGAAAAACTTGTGATTAGGAGAGATGTTGTGATCGATGAAGGCTCACACTGGAATTGGGCAGAAGAAAAAATAGAAAGTGATAAGATAGGGAAACTGGTGACAAGAGGAGATGAACCTGTACCAGCTCCATTTTCTTATGAGTTGGAAAATAATGAGGAAGTTGGAAATGCTAGAAGTGCTGATGGAGTTAGGATGAAAAGTCTCTTTGAGATATACGAATCATGCAATTTTACCTTCAAGGAACCTGCAACCTATTAAGAGGCAGCCATATCTTCCTCTTGGAAGGATGCTATGATGGAGGAAATTGCTATGATCACAAAGAACAAAACCTGGACTTTGATCCTTTAGACTGAGGGCAAGAAGATAATTAGTTTCAAGTGGATTTACAGACTCAAGTTGAACCCCGATGGCTCTGTGAATCGACACAAAGCTAGGCTGGTGGTAAAAAGATATGCCCAGACTGCGGGAATTGACTTTGGGAACACCTTCGCTCCAGTTGCAAGACACGGAACCATCATAATGATCCTAGCAGTAGCAGCATATTCCCAGTGGTAAGTTATGCACATGGACGTCAAGTCTACCTTCCTAAACAGTGATCTCCAAAAAGAGATCTATGTTGATCAACCAGAAGGATTCACAGTTGAGAGAAAAGAGGATCAAGTCTATCTCCTACATAAAGCTTTGTATGGCCTTAAGCAAGCTCCACGAGTTTGGTACCAGAAGCTGGACGAATACCTACTGTGTTGTGGTTTTGAAAAGAGTAAGGCAGAAGCAACGTTATATGCCAAACACGATGAAAATGGTAGGAGGTTGATCACTGTCATTTATGTGGATGACATACTGGCGACAGGAAACGATCGATGTAAAATGGAAGAATTCAGAGGACAGCTTGAGGAGATGTTTGAAATGTCCGACCTAGGTGAATTATGGGGATGGAAATAAAGCAAGCTCAGAATGGGATTTTTCTGTCACAAGCAAAGTATTCATGTGAAATCCTTAAAAAGTTTAATATGATGGAGTGCAAAGCTCCATCTAATCCGTTAATTCTAAACCTGAAGTTAACTAAAGATGAAACTAATGATAACGTGGATGAGGGAAGGTATAGGAGCTTAATTGGGAGCTTGCTGTATCTCACAATTTTAAAGCCAGATATGTTATTTGTTGTGAGTTTGCTGTCACGGTTTATGTCATCTCCAAAACAATCTCACTTAGCAGCAGCAAAGTATGTATTGAGGTATCTAAATG